AGAATCAATGCCTGTCATTCCCACTTTATACATTTGCGCTGGAAAGTCCCAGTGTAATACTAGTTTACTCTCCACCAGACACAGTTTATGTGGAAGTAGCCTGAAAGCCTTCTTATGGTCCTTTACATTGAAATCCAAATAATGATTGTGACACATACATACGTATATACACATGTATGTGTATAAACACACACACACACACACACACACATGCATACATAAATACATATACAAATGTACACACACAGAACAGCATATTCAAACTGAGAAATCCAGAAGTGGGGAATGTTCTAATACCACAGTGCTTGGCGTCTCTCAGAATCTAGCACATTGGTTTTTAAACATTAAACCTTCACTACATGTTCCCCCTACCCACTGCATGCTAAATGTTTCCAGTCCTGGAGATTTAGAAACAAGATTTCCACCATTATCCAAACTCTCTGTTTCTTATCGCGCTCCATGTTTGGCATCAGACAAGTTTGATTCATTCATCATTTCCAGCACACTAGAGCACTAATTATTGCAAATTGTTTCCTCCAGCAGAGATCTAGGACAACTGCAGGCTAGCCAAAAATAGCAGTTATGAATAATTATGCATAATTTACCTCAAGGCCTGGACTATTCTATTATTAAAACTTTAACTTGCCACCTGTGGCCCATGCTAATTTCAGACTTCAAATGAGATCAAGATGGCTTTTTTTTAGACAAAAGCAAATGAAAACAACCCCTCACAGAGTGCCCAAAAAAAATAAGCCACTGCAGCCCTTACGACCTAGCAGTCATCCCCAACTTTGCACCCTCCAGATGTATTTGGATTACAGCTCCTATCATTCCCAGCTCCCATCAAGGCTCACAGTTGGGGAAAGCTTCTCTAAGGGGTTTTATGATGTTTCAAATACTGGTACTTCTAATTTTTCTTGTCAAAATGCCTTGCTATTTTGTAGGCTTGCTAATAGGAAAAATCCTGCAGAGACAAGGTCACTTCTGTGTGACCTTGTGGTGAGAATTCTCTCCCCCTAAAACTGAAAAGCAAGATTATTCAGCAAGTGGTAAGTAGTTTTCAGCATCTTCAAAGTGAAATATCGATCTTTATGCCTGAAATGTATTAAATTCTTTTAGCATTTTTCTCTTTTGTCCTGCAGTATTAAAATGTTGTAAAAAACACAAAAGCATACAAATGTAGAGAAGGTAATGAAAAGACCCAGAGTCCACACCATTTGAAATATATTTTATATCAGTGCTACAAAAGGGGTGCCAGACAGATACAAAAGAATAAAAGAATGCAGTAGTAGACACATCTTTTCAATGCACAATGCTTTCCCATTCATTCCAATGACAATTTTAAGACACTATCTTGAGTTTAGTACTCTTTGAAGTCAAGAAAAGATGCACAGAGTAAAAATCACAGAAACAACTTTGAAATCACAACACATCTAAAATAAGGGAAGGAAGGGAGGGGGGTTGTCCAACAAACATTTGTTTTCAATATTTGGCAAGTGTGCATTGTGAAAATAATGTATGAGGTTGTTTTAAAAAAAAGTCTGGGACTTGGTAGTCGTTGGGTAGTAATAGTGACTGTGTAGACACCAGGATATAAAGGAAAGGTGGGCAATGTGTTGGAATCAGGTATTGTTCAAAGATAGAGATATATTTAAAACACCTTAAAAGACAGAAATGACCCACCCCACATACATTTCCCAGAGGTAAATTTTCCATAGATATGAAGTCATGTGGAGAAAAATGTTTTTCCACAAGTTTTTTTTAAGCAGGTTTGAAAAATTGGG